CTTCAGCCTTTTTCTGCTCATTTAGCGGAATAAAATTTAAATAATAAAATAATATTACAAAAGTAAATCCATTATTATCATTAAGATTGCAAGCCACTTTTATGACCGCTAATATTACAAGCTCGCAGAGTGATCTGAGCTAAACTCTAAACTATATTGAAAAACTAATGCTTTCTCCAGTTTTATATAGTTTTCCCCTGTCCCGCCGAAAAATTTCCAGTACCTTTCGATTTCTTGAAATTGCTGGAAGGTTTAGACAGTTAAGAGTTACACAGAGATCGAAACAGTTACACAAAAATCGGGCCAAAATGTCGCTAAGCTTGGCGACAATACTTCGTGCTATTTCGCCAGTTTGGCAAGACAGCCAAACGTTATAATGTTAACGTTATGATGTTAAATTGGACTTAACCCTGTAGCCCTGTTCTCGTGACAATGCTTCGCCCTCTGAGGCCTTTCACGTTACAATTTACAGGAGGTACTACAATTTACGCATAGGCTCATTAAAATTATTTACCATATGTACAAAATTCATAGCATTTTCCCTTCCCAAAGACTGCATATCCCGGGCAGTGAGACTCCCGGACAGGTAGCCATAATTACAACTAAGGAAAATCAATAACTGAACACCAACGCAATACTAAAATAATAATTTCAATAAATAACGTACAACAAATCAAACACCAATTCAATACAATATATGAAGGACCATGATATTTATGAACGAATTTATACTTAGAATCTGATGACATATGGATCCGAACTACGTCGCCGTTCAGCTTGGTTGTTTCCAAACATCGGCACAGAAATTAGAAGCTCCAAGCTCCTTCCTAACTTATTATCTCACCGGTCATGTCCCATATCCAGATTATTTTCTGAAAAGGAATCCTCTCCAATAGCGAAAATGGCGTGTGTGTAGAGTCAAAGGAGATGCAGACCATTATCTATGCTTCTGCCGTCTCACACATTCGGAAACCCACCAATCTAGATTCTAACTTTAAGGGGGCTCATACACCTTAAACCCCTCATGATCTTGGAATATGTGATTGCTGCAAGAATTGGATATTTTGATTTATTTTAAAAACAATTACTTCCAACTTTTTACAGCTGACTACGTAATATAACTGCTTTGGGAGCTATAACCAGAAAGTTTGTGTTGCCACAAATATTTTTGTAATTTAATCCGCTTTGTGACAAAAGTTTTCGCCATGTTTTCACCTCGTGCGCATGATATTTTAAAAATGGCTAATGGTACATACTTGAAATTGGATGGAATTCTTTATATGGACACTATTTTCTAACGGAACCAAAAATCTGATGAATATTTTAATATTAAAAAATTTTATGGACGAAAACATTACAATTTTTTTAATAAAATACATTTTATAAACTCGACTCCAAAAAAATAAAAATTTAATATGATATTCTTAGAATTTTTGGTTCATAGTAATTTCCAAATGTTATAAAAGCTATATATTAAATATGGAATTAAAATATGCAACAGAATGTTTTAAACTGTGCGCGCAAGGTGGAAACATGACGAAAAATTGTGTCACAAAGCGTATTAAATTATAAAAATATTTGTGGCAACACAAACTTTCTCATTACTATTTCAGAGAGCAGCTATATTATGTAGTCAGCTGTACAAAGTTGGAAGTAATTGCTTTTAAAATAAATAAGTTATCCCCATTCTTGCAACAGTTAGATAATCGAAGATCTTGTGGGTTTTAAGGTGTAAGAGTCCCCTTAAAAGACTGGAAATTTTCTCTTTTTACATCCCTATGGGACCAGGTACTGCGTTTGACAGTGAAATTTCTGCGATTCGCACAGCTCTGTACCAGCTACCATGCCACTTGGAAAAATTCACAAGAGTTGTTATACTCGGTGATTCCCGAGCTGCTCTGTTGGTTATCGTTTCAGATGAAAATCCTATATCACAGGATATATTGGATTGTCGACATTATCTACAAGCCCTGCTTCGCTTGAGAAAATTATAGTCCTGCAGTGGGTTCCTACCCACTGTGGGATTCCAGGTAACAAGAAAGCCGACTTCTCGGCAAAAAAGGGTGCTTTAATCATGCAGAATATTTCTCGTCCTTTGCCTTTCCATGCTATTAGGGACCTTATTAAAAGATCTATCAAAGTAGGTGCTCAGGAAGATCTCTATAATCGTGTTTCTCATAAGTCTTGGAAGAATGTTATCCCGAATTTGTGTAATGGCCCAAGGCGTAGAGCCGTCGCTGAATTCCGCCTTGCCACCGGACATGACTGCCTATAATATCATCTTCACAGATGATGCCGCACATCTATCTCATTGTCCTACTCTGCGCAAGACTTTTTTCGCCGAGCGTTACTGGGAGGCAAGAGATATGTTAGATTAATGGACTCTGTTACAGCTGTTTTTTTTTTTTTTTTTTTTTTTTGTATTTTTTTTTTTTTTTTTTTTTTTTTTTTCCTGTTACTGTTCATAATCTGCCATGGAAAAAAAAAAGTTTAGAAGACTGGTGATAGCTCAACACAACCTATATCCAAAAATCATGAAGGTACGCAAAAAAGCTCGGTGCTTTAGGACTGGACCTATGCCGAGTCACAAGTTAAGTCCGAAAACGATAAAGCCGAAACGAAAGAGCAATGTCTAGGTCACTCACGAATAATTGACTCCGCGATACATTAATAATTTCCATATTGCTCCAAAATACCTAACTTACTGAGCTGAGACCATGAGCTTTATTTATAAACTTTGAAAGATTTGAGCTCAGATCTAATTAATTACCTGTAACAAATGTCACATAACAAGAATCAGACTCCCAATATATTAGCAAAATCAAATCGCGTATGTTTATATACTTCCATAAAAATGTAAAATTTCCAGTACAACGATCTTCAAAATATCAGCTCTACTATATTTACGTAATCGAATATTTTAATGAGTATTCTAAACAGTTTGTGTAACTTTGTATGTAATTTTATGTTATTATCTTCTTATGTTTAAATTAACAACTCCGATGTATAACTTCAGTATTACTTAGAAATAGTTCAAGTATTTCATACTCTAGCTGGTTAGTGTATTTGGGCAATACCTGTTTGATTCGGTAGTGAAGTTTTTGGTGCTCCCATGCACTTTTACTTGTTTACCTGTTCAGGATTGTGTAAGGACCGTCCGAGGGTGACTGTAGTTTAGGAGAAACTCCTTTCCTTCGAATTGGATTCCATAACCACACTTTGTCATTTTTGTTAAATTGATGTCCTGTAGCTCTCGTGTCGAACTGGGCCTTCATCTTCTCCGTCACTTGCTGTCGAGCAAAATTGAGCATCATTTGAAACCGTGCCTGGAGAATGGCACCTCAGGCGATCCGAAGGGCAATCAAACAATAAATCACAAAGGTGACGACCGAAGAGCGTCTGAGATCGGGATAGCACTACGGTGGGCCAGTATAACATGTGGTCCCAGTACTGTTGATTTCTGGAAACAATTAGCGAGTGGTTACTAAAGGTAGTTCGGTCAAACCTCTCTACCATGGCTGTGGGTGTAAAGGATTCGTTTGGGTTTTGTCTATGCCGAGTAATTTATAAAGGTCTTTTATTACAGTTGAGATAAAATTCCTTCCTTCAGAGTTCGTACATCAAGGAGCAAAAATGGAATTGGTCGCTCGTTCCTTTGTAATCTGGATAATTCATTGGTTGGATAAGACTTGTTATGGTGGACGGCAGAAACGCAACACAGATGTTTTCCATGTTTCTTAGCCCATTCTTTTATATATTAGTAGCCAGCTTATTTTCTTCTTATCCCATTTCATATATTTTTATCTCACAGGCCTAAATTTCGGATTTAAATTTAGATCTTCGAAAGTACCTTTATTTTGATATTGGCAGTTATGAGGGATTTTATAGTACTTGATTTAAATCACCATGTTTGCCAATTGATCAATCTCAAAACATTAAATTTTTAGTCGTATTTATAGGAACCGACAGAGAAATCTTTATTTAATATGTGGTATGGTGACTTCGGACAGAATACGGGATCTTCACACAGTTTAGTGAATTGCTTTTTGGAATTCCACGCCAGTCTTCAGAATGTGCACTATTTAGATCCTGACAGACATCGGGCTCGGTGCAGTTTGGTTATCCAATGCATGCTTAGTAGGACTGAAGTGTGTTGAATAGACTGGTCAGTCCACTGAAGAGATATCTTCTGTTTCCGAAAATTCTGAGACCAGCGTTATTAGTCATTACCAAAACGTCTGGGCCAATAGCATCCCTAAACAGCCTTACATATGATTCCAAGACGTCGTTCATATATTTGATGTATGAAAGAAATATGTTTGATGATTCCACTGCAAACCATGCAACTGCTTCCCTGGATTTGTATGAACAAGGTAAGGCAAGTTGCGTGTTCCTGGTTCTTTCCAGTTGCCTAGAGCTGCAATTCAGGTTTTTACCTGGAGTCGTTAATAAACAGTGCAAGCTCCCATTCCTCTTGGCTGTACTGAGTATGATGAGGGTACCATGTTAAAGGGGTAGCTATAGAAGATGGAGGGAGTGAGACGCAAACTATCGGTTTTTCAAGCATAACGTCAAACTTCATGCAGCGATAGAACAGTTGATTGGAATTTTCGGTGTCACCAAATCTTTTTCAATCGCTTCGACAATGAAAGCAAATGTTCTTCGGATTAAATTGTTAACACCGTACATCTTTGATGACGCTGTCTATTAATTGAATGATTGCGGTTTGAAGTTACTGAAATGCCACCTCTATGTGCGTACGAATGAAGTGCGAGTTTTGTCTTTTATTTGACAGCTTAGGATAAATAATAATCCTCAAAATCTAAATTAAACATGGTTATACATTGAGATTTCAGTATTAGTGCTTTGAGGAACGTGTTAGCTGCGTACGTTTGAGCGTTAAAGTATGGAGGGCAAGAAAGTCCGGTTTAACTTTACTTTTCGCATAATCTAGATATTCGTTTATAACTGTAACCAATAATAACAATTTTTATTTTCAGATTGCTGAAGAGTGGGGGAAAAAAAAAAAACTTACCTTGTATGCAGAACTCCTGAAGTGGGAAGACTGAAATACCGAAGAGAATCAATTACTTGCGGGGCCCCAGAGAGAGATTGGCAAGACACTTCGCTTCTACGAAACGGTCTCAAGTTCTATCCTCGGTAAGTAGTATTGAATTCTAATTGTGAAATACAAAATAATATGTGATGTAATGAATTATAAATGTTGAAAGTAGTGGGCTGTAATAAAGAGATCTGTTGTAAGTTACAGGTTGAACGAAAGAAGAAGGCGAGAAAGTGAAAAAAAAAGGAGGGGCCCCCCAAGTCAAGAAGTAAGTAAAGAGAGAAGAGAAGAAAACGTCCGGGTGGCACATAAAGCAGCTTTGAAAAAAAAAAAGAAAAGGAGATTATTATTTAAGAGGAGAATGGTGCCACCCGGAAAGGGGCTTTTGGAAAATTTTTTGATCTCCAGAGATGCGGGATGTAAATTTTACATTTTGTTTTGTATTTCTAACACAAATGTTGTTGTAGTCATCTGGTGTGTACAAGTAAAAATAAATTTGTTTTACGGTTTTATGGGTCTTTTTTGTTTATGTTTAAATATTCATCAAGATATTTGTTGGCATCTAAAAATCAGTTCATCTCGGCGTTTAAAAATCAGTTCAGCAAGATATTTTTTTGCCGTTTGAAAACCAGTTCATCAACATATTTTTGGCGTTTAAAAATCAGTTTATCTCGGCGTTTAGAAGTCAGTTCATCAAGATATATTTTTGGCGTTAAAAAGTCAGTTCATCCAGATATATTTTTGCCGTTTAAAAATCAGTTCATCAACGTATTTTTTGGCGTTAAAAAATCAGTTTATCTCCGCGTTTAAAAGTATACTCATCAAGATATATTTTTGCCGTTTAAAAATCAGTTCTCTCGGCGTTTAAAAATCAGTTCATCAAGATATTTTTTTGCAGTTAAAAAATCAGTTCATCTCGCCGTTTAAAAATCATTTCATCAAGATTTTTTTTGCAGTTGAAAAATCAGTTCATCTCGCCGTTTAAAAATCAGTTCATCAAGATATTTTTGTGGCGTTTAAAAATCAGGTCATCAGTTAAATTTATCGTCGTTTAAAAATTTTAGACTTTTGCCTCTAACCTCTTCATTTTTGTAGAATATATTAACTTGCTTTATTTATGAAAATAATTATAAATTAATTTTATGAACTCGAAATATTAAAATTTTTCCTATAATTCAATTCATTCTTCACAAAATCCAGCTCTTTTGTATATTGTTAACCCTCTGGCCTATAACGGCCTATCACGCGTCTGGCTGGTGATAAAGTATTTGCGCCATAAACAAAAGCTACGACTCTGACTCGTGGTGAGGAATTTGTGTATAAAATGCCAAGCAGAGCAAGTAATTGGAGTTATTCTACATAGAATATTTTTCATTTTATTGTAAAGTATTTTGTCTTTTTCACTTGTTTGTGACGAAACTGGATGATATGTTACTTCCTCGTATAGCTCCGTTACGTTCACACGTTTCAGGTATAATTTCGTATAAAGAATTAAAAACTCTTATACCCATCATGCAATTATTTTTGTCAACTGATAAATTGATTATGATTACACCTTAGACGTCTTAAAATGACTATTTGTACCTAAACATTGTTTATTATTTCCCAATTCCTTTCGTTACACGGAAATATAGGTATATGTCATGAAAAGTATACATTTTGCGCCATTTCGGATATACGGCTGAACAGCTGAATGGCACGGCGCGGGACCGACTTTGTTTAACTTTGTTTGACCTACTTTGTGCTACAAATTACCTTTGTAAGCATATTAAGGTCTAACATTTATTAAGACCATCCGCTGTCTAATGTTATCTGATAATTACTGACGTTCGGGCAAATCATGATATTCAGAAATATATCTCCAATGAACTTTATCTTATCAGCTTTATTTTTTATGCAAGTTACGTTATTTTATACCTCTACGCTGAACTTCCGTTGCATAAAAATAAGATTTAAAGAGTGAGGATTTCTATGAATGAAATTTTTTATGAATTTTTTTCAGAAA